ACATATTCTCAAAAAAATACTATTTATTACTCCATTTATCTACCAATAATGGTAGATAAACAGGCTCTTAACGATGAATCTAAGGTCTGTCTCTGTCATTGTCCTGCCTTGTTTAGCGCACTTAGAAGAAAAGTAAAGTAATTATTTAAGTATTATTTATTTATAATTGAACTTTTTAAGCTTAGCCAGTTACTCTTTAATCAGTAGTTGTATACAGTAAAAGAAAACCCTCTCTCTCACTCTCTCTCTATCAAACTGTATGTAACCGTTTTGTAATGACCATTAATGGCGTTTTCAATTTCATTGATTTGCATTACTTCGTCTGAATTGCAGTTTTTCATAGATTATATGTTCATGCTCTTGCAGCCTGGAGTTCGGGAGAGGAAAGCGGACGAGAGTATGAGAGGTTTTTGCAACGAAGAACTCAATTTCGCCTCCTCACAAGATGTTAGGTTCTCCAAGCACGTTCACGACAATGTCCATGGCAACATCTACCTTGATCCGGTCATTTTTTGTTTTCCCTCTCTTTCATGACCAATACGCATTTTTTATTTTGAAAATTTTGAATTGAAATTAGGCTCTCATCATCAATTTCTGTCGTACGAGGACGAAGTTAAGTTTTCCTATTATTTTCTATTTTTTAAGTCGTACAAAGATTGCACCTTGTGAGAATGATGATTGACGAAATTAAGTTTCTTAATTTTCTATACAGTGTAATTTAATCAATTTAATGTAAGGAAAAAAAAATGTTAGCTTACTTGTTAAGAGCGATTTTTATATTTTATTATTTCAACATAAATTTACATGTATCACTTATTTGTACTTTTTTTTAATTTTATTTTTTATCACAAATTGCTGCTTCTTCCTCCCAATACGCGATTTTAACTTTTTTTTTTTTTCCTGTTTGACAGCTCTCTTTGAAGTTCATTGACACTGAACAATTCCAAAGGTAAATGCTTCCATCCTTTTTCTATTACTAATTAACAAATTTTTTTCAACGTTCTTGTTTTGGTAGTTCATGTGCATAAGTGTGCTGAGAATCTAGCTAACTTGATATCTTTGGTTTACAGGCTGCGTGATCTTAAACAACTAGGTGAGTGCATAATCTTTCTCTTTCCATGTATTGTCGACTAGTAATCATATTAGATTGGCGAGACTTTTGTATGTACATGTCGTTTATCCCTAGTTTCCGTTTGAGAGGAAATTGAATTTATAATATCTGTCTCTTTTCTTTGACTTCCAATAGTTCTTCACTATATTTTCTCCAACTAATTCTTTTCAATCCAAGTTTTAATGTTAAAGATGATTGAAAATTGATGCATCAGCACATTTTATTTTCATTTTTATACGCTTTTTAAGAAAATGTCGTCCTTATTGTCCTACTTGCTGCTGCAAGGTGTTCTTTGTTGTTTTCATTGAGTATATAGACTACTGCAAATGATTTTCAGACTCCTAAAATCGTCCTGACCAGGAAAGAGGTGTTTCTGCTCAACACAACAACCCTCTACTCCCTTGTACTTAAACTTTGAAGCTACTTGATCAAATAGAGAACTATGGTTATGATTGTGGTTCCCAACGGCGGTAATTTTCTCAGTTATTGGTATCCCATTTAACCTGAAAATCCTATTATTGTGTTTATTATTAGCTTAAAGTGTATTTCTGGGTCTGAAGTGACCTATATTTCTGTTTTTTATTGGATAGAACTAACACTTTCTTTAATTTTTGTTATTTATTTGCAGGCTTGGCACACATGGTTTATCCAGGAGCGGTGCATTCTAGATTTGAACATTCTCTTGGTGTGTACTGGCTCGCTGGTGAAGCTGTTCACAAACTTAAGACCCACCAAGTATTCTATTTTCTTGGAACTATCAACTATGGAAGTATTCTTTAATAGTGAAAATTAAAGCTCTGGAGTTTAATTTCATTGGTTAATAAGCTTTTTGTGTAGGGGGAGCTTGGTATTGATGACTTTGATGTGCAAACAGTGAAACTTGCAGGTAAGTAAATTTTAAAAAATGGATCATTAATTTATTTTCTTATTGATGTTCACCTTCTGTTATGTTTCAACTGATAGGTCTTTTGCATGATATTGGCCATGGGCCATTTAGCCACTTATTTGAACATGAATTTCTTCCGAAGGTTCTCAATGGATCAAAATGGTAATATTCTTGAACTAACTACATTTTCTGTTATGTGGCATTTAATGATGTATACATCAGCATATGTTTGATATATTAAATTCCCTCAGTATTTTGCAATGGAAATGCGAGAGATAGAGAGTTGGTTAATATGGCACCAATTGAACATGAATTGCATTAGAACATGGTTTTGAGACATTAAATGAAGTCCGCTAAATCACGAGTTAGAAGAAAGTGACAAGACTAGTATGAATGGGAAATCTGGAGAGGGTGTTTAAACCTAAATCAATTGTCAAGAGACAATTAAAATGTGATGATAGTATGAATTTTAAGAGTAATGATATTCATCTCCACTGGATTGAACACCAATCTAGATGACAACATGTTATAGGTTTAATTAAATGAGTCATATGATTTTGTATCAGAATGAATCTATCATTTAGTGATATATAGTTGCCACCTAGACTGGTGCTCTACTCCAGTGAGAATGAATAGCATTACTCAAATTTTAAATCCGGAGAAAATGTTTCCACCCAACCAAATTTGCTTTCAGCTTCTGATTTACGAGTTCTATAACTGTCACAGTTGCATCCCCTATGCTTGTTTTATAATATCTCCTTAGGGCTAAAGCCTTTTGTTTCCACTCATCCATTGATAAAGAATGGCATTCATTCCTTTTTGTGATGTTATGATTAAATTCCATCTTAAGTCTTAACTACAATAGAAAACACTGATTTCATTTCTGAGACTACCCTTAGCGTTAAAAATAATCATTTCAAACTCGCAGGTCAAAGTTTAGTTCAAGTAATTATCTACGAAACTTCAAAAACCACCCAATACAAGAAATTTTTGGGTCCCACATCAGCTAAAATTAGCAATAAACAACTAATACGGCATTCATATTACCAATGAACAACTAATTATATTGATTCCCTTTTCCCTTAATACCATTCAATTCTTAATATTCACATTATAACTAGAAGTTATAATATTTTGAGATTGGGAGTATCTATCAATTGCAAAATCTACTGCATACTTTCCCTGGAAGAGAATGTTGGATAGTTGTGCTTGATAATCTTTCCTCTGCACTAGCAAATGAAAGGATCATCTAATACACTTAGAAATCACATGAACAAATCCATTTTCCACCATCTTATCAATAGTGTGCCTTAAACCGTGTATCTTGGTCCCATTTTCAGGCGCACGCACACATACAACACAGATTGACAATGTATCGATGATTAGCTTATATCTGCTAATTCTAAGTTCAATTTTTTTTGTCAACAAGGGCTTTTGTGTTCAATTTTATTTTCAGTACTTTGAGATCAATGCTATGTTAATGTTGTATAATTATTCTTTTAGGAAATATAATTTTCATTGTCAAGATCAATATTTAACCGTGATTCACAAATGTTTCCTAGGAAAACTCGTACTATCTAATCTCAGAGTTGCTTAATTGTAGGTCTCATGAGCAAATGTCTGTGGACATGGTGGAACATATTGTCGAGCAGCATTATATTGAAATAGACTCTGAGATGGTGAAAAGAGTTAAGGTGGGCTAACAACTACAAGTGTTTTACTCTTTCTTTTCTTCATGCAAGTTTCTATCATCTGTTATTTAAAACTTTTACTTTCAAGGAAGTCTAGACTTCTTGTTCATTTGATACTGCATCTTTTGTGCCTTAACAGAAGAAAATGAATTCAGAGAACTAACTAATAATATCCTTATTGTGTCATTTTTTGTGTCATGTTAATTATTTAGTTGTTATTTTTGCTCAAAGATTGCACTCATTCATCAGGTACTTACTCAGTTACTTGTTAGGTGTGCCTGGTGGGGTGAAGCGATTATTGAAAATGGGTTAACTTTAGCTCGTGCTTGGCCCCTATTAAATTAAAAAAATGGGTTAACTTTAGCTCCTGCTTGGCCTCCACTAAATTAAAATTTATTTTTTTCTCTCTTCTTATCCACCGCACATGCTCTAATAAAATAATATTACACATAAACCTAAAAACTTTTCCTTTTTTTATCCACACATTCTCCAAAAATTACTATTCCCCATTTCCCCTCATTATAATTTGGAAAAATGGAGCCCAAACAAGGGCTTAATCACATTTATCTGTATACCGCATGACAATATTGATGGTTAAGGTCGTTTGCATTCTCTTTATTGATAAAGCAAATCTATGTTGCCATCAGAAATTTTTACCTCAAAATGCACCACTCTGGTTAGATGCCATGTCAAGAAGTATGCGAGTGCCACCAATACTTAAGACAGTTTTGGGATTATTATCATGCATGTATTCGCTTTCAAATGTAAAGTTCTGTTGCCTGTAAGACTATTAATTCCAAGTTGAAACAAAATGGATATTGTTATAAAATAAGATTAGTTTCTGTTGGCAAGATTTTATCCTTTTTCAAATATGCTTTCATGCTAGCATGTTTTGAGGGGTTTCCATCGGGCGATGACACGTAAATTATTGTCTACAAATGATAAATTCTTTTACTTTATGATTTTAATAAAATACATGACCATGTGTGGTTTTAATTAAAAAATAACCAATAGTGTTGGTTGGCAACCTGATAGAATGGATTAGTCAATGTTGTGATACTAAGTCTTGGTACTTTTTTTTTTGCCATTTATCTTAAGATAAAAGTATTTACTTGTACAAATAGCATTGGACTCTTCCTTTCAACTAAACACTATACTCCAAACGTGTGAGTTTTTATCACTTTCTCTATTTTCATTTGACCTCTCATTGCCAGGAAATGATACTTGCAAGTTCCAAGTTTGCAATGGACAAAGTAAGTCTTGTTCTCATATTTACTTAATTATGATGTGTGTTATGTAATTTGATATGTATAAATTGCATACTTAAAATACAGTGGTATCTCTTTTGTTCTTTTAACTTTTATGGTCACATCAAAGCTTTATACTATTTGACATGTTTATATTTTCTCTTTTTCAAGAGTGCAACGGAAAAGTATTTTCTGTATGATATTGTGGCGAATGGTCGAAATGGAATTGATGTCGACAAGTTAGTAACTGCGATGCTGAGAAACTAGTTTTCTTATTTGAATGTCATGTGTTTTTTTCCTTCTCTCCCCTCTTCTTTGTCTCCCTTGTGCTGCTTACAAGTACATAAACTGGCCAGGTTTGATTACATTGTTCGTGATTCCCGAGCATGTGGTCTTGGTTGCAATTTCCAGTTTCAGAGGTGGTTGTTAGATCTTATTCAAAATTCGAACACATGCACACGTTCAAAGGTTTATAAACAAGTTGGGTGAAGATAATTACAGATTATTAATAGATTTACTGCGGGATTTTTTTTACTGTCAGGTTGATGGAATCAATGAGAGTCATGGGAGACGAGATATGCTACCGGGCCAAAGATTGTTAGTAACAATATATGATAAAATTGAAAGTATATTTGTATTTTTTTTAATCTTTCATGTGTATCTGAATGTATGATTGCAGATTTGAACATCCACAACCTATTTTCCTCTCGAGCAGATCTGTTCAGGACAGTTTATACTCATGCGAAGGTGAAGGTGTGGACTACTTTCCCTTTTTAAACATGGACTAAGGTTATAATACGAGTTCCCTCAGGTTTTCTTTAATGTATGAAGGCAGTCATTAAGTTTTTTAACGTTTCTCAGGCAATAGACCTAATGGTTGCAGATGCCTTAGTGGGTGCAAATGATAATCTAAAAATATCATCACGTATACAGGATCCTTCACAATATTGGGAGGTTTGGGCGCTCTTGTAAATTATTAATATCCTTTTTTGTACCTCAGTACTGATAGGCTTTGGTATTTTTCGGTGTAGTTAGACGACACTATAATCAAAACTATTCAGACATCTCCAGACGAAGAACTAAAGGAATCTCGAGATCTGATACTTCGCATTTTCCGGAGAGATTTATATCAGGTTTGCTTTAAGTCACTTGTATGTACAGTTTAAGTTAAAGTTTTAACTCTGTCCATTTAATTGTTCTTGTAAATAAATGAGTTAGATGCTACTGTTTTTGCAGTTTTGTAACGAGTATATTGTTCCCAAGGAAAAACTGGAAAATTTTAAGAATGTCACTGCACAAGATATTATTTGTTCACAGGTACTCTAACACGTACCGATTATACATTTTATATATCTACACAAGTTTGTTTGCTAGTTGCATAATTTTCACATGGAGAAAAAAAAAGTAACTTTTTGTTCATATAGAAAAGCGGCGGAGTGACCCTTAGAGAAGAGGATGTTGTTGTGAGCAATGTCAGGATAGACTTTACTCGTGGGAGGAATAATCCACTTGAAAGGTGCATATCGATGGAAGCTCTTCAACTGAATTAAACTGCTTTCCGATTATCTCACAACATGCATGATTAGTAATGTTTTCATCCGACTATATTAATTATTGGTTATTTCTCGTTCTGTGGATGTGTTCCTCCTTCCAGCATCAAGTTCTTCAAGGTATGCTTTCCACTTTCCCAAGTTTAAAACTTTTCAGATTTTCCCTAGTTTTCTGTAAATATCAACAGCTATACTGTATGTTCAGGATTATGAGAGCGAAGAGAAATTCTCTATACCTGATAGTGGCGTCAGCCATATGCTTCCAACATATTACCAAGACATGATTGTGCGGGTGTACTCTAAAAATCCTGAACTGGTCTCTGGATTCTCTCTTCAAAATGTTATCTACCAAACATTTCCGTATTTATCTGCTCACCTATACACACTGTATATGTATATGTAGGTTGGACAGATTTCTGAGGCTTTTGAGAATTTTCAACTGAATACTTACGGGATCAAAGTGCAAGTACATGACACACCAAAGAAGAAACGGCAAATTTGATGCATACAATTTGGCTCGTTTTCTCTCCTCTTCCATCGTATCCACTATATCTTACGAATGATATTACACTAAACAAGCAGAACAGGAGAACTTCATCTTGAAACGTTTGTATGGAGCTAAATATAAGGAATAGATAATGAGACTATCTACTAATATTTCGAAAGTGTGCTTAATTTGTCCAGAGCTGAGACCATATGTAGTTATGGAGAAAGATGCAATTGTAAACGTAGGTTTTCATTATCGAGGGTATTTCTGAAAGTAGAACACATGAACCCATAAATCCAATTATTCTGTAAAAATGACGACTTGTGGACAATAATCCTGCAATCCAACTTTTCCATGAACTTACAAAGGATTCGTGTTTACAATAGAAGTTGCACAAATATGTGACTGATCATTGAATACAAGTACACCTATTTTTTGTTTTAATGAATGAAATAGATTGTTTAACATGAAATCCGCATGCTAGAAGTCTTGAAAACATTATTGACTGGAAAATAGAGGAAAATGCAAGTTGTGTTGATCCAACATGATAGAATTACTGGAACGCAATGAATTATACTATAAAGGTCTTCTTCTAACCCGCAATCTTGTAGCTCGGGTTGGCAAGATTATCTAGGCCAGACACTACCTGCATCGACTCTATAACATCTCCAACCTTTAGGTCAGCCAAAGAATCCTCATTTTCTGTCACGTAACCGAACACTGCATATCGACCATCCAATATGTTGGCATTGCTAGGAGTTAGTTCGCTTTCTTTTAATAGCCAAAATACCTGGCTCGAAGCTGAATTGTTGTCAAATTCCTGTCGTGATTAAAATTAATTGACTCAGAGAAGATAGTAGCTGTCAAATTAAGTGAATTATATGTGTAAAAACAATTCATTATGTTCAGACTTCTCACCTCTCTAGCCATCGCCATAGTTCCAAATGCATTAAATGGAAGCTTCGTTTGAGCCTTGTATAGACCAAGGTCCTGTCCAAGAACACGTAACTTAGCATCAAACTGCAAGAGGAGTCTCAAAAGGGGACGTTTGTCTCAAAACTTACTTCCAGAGTTTCTCCATAAAAGGGTGCCTTTTCTCCATTCACCATAATCTCCAGAGGAATAGTACGAGTTTTCTCTGTGCTGGGATCGATAAAGCCCTCAGCAGGACCTTCAGGATCTCCTGTTTGAACTACAAAGCCATCCGCTGCAGAAAAAACAACAGGAGTATCTATAAGCTTCAGTAAATTAGAACAGGCTAACTTCAATTATTATGTGCATGTCAAAAAATTAAGCGGGTCCTGACATTCTCTAAGCAGCCTTACCTCTTTGAATCTCCATGCCGTCATAGAAATGTCTTTCCACTAAATCGACAAAATTTCCAGCAGTTACAGGGGCATTGTAACCATCCAAAACAATACGGAATACACATTCATTCACGTTAGGATTGTCTTTCACCTTGACCTTCATATCCACTGTCGCTCTTCCCTTTAGCAATGGCATATTTCTATATTCTTCAGGCACTTCAAATGGAAAGCCGTCCACCATATCCTCTTCAACACTGCAGAAATCCAATGCCCCAGGAAGATCTCAGCTGCAGTCAATGACCAGGGTTTAAATGAGACGAGCATACTTTAGGAAGAACAACTTTTTCAAGTTCTTCCCATTTTGTAGGCCTCAAGGAGAATTTGGTAGAAATCAAGCAAGATTATGGTCATCGGTGATTTCCAAAAGGATTAGAAGCTGATTCTTTAAAATCGCATTCTCATTATAGAAAATTTCCCATACCCTCAGAGGAACCAAATCCCATAAATAAGAGTACCATTAAAGCAAGTTACACGTGATATGATTTGAACGATGTAGCGGAGACTAAGAACCACTTGGAACCTGGTAACCTAGAAAAATGCTAAATGTGCAATATACATGTGATAAGCATTCATCCACATGAAAGCTGTAGAGACCAAGTCTTAGAAACTGCAAACTCCTACTTTAGCAAAAAAAACACAGAAACATTGTCCTACCAATATTTTCAGACTGAAAACCAGTATATAATCAGTTCTCATTTTGGTCAGCAAAAGTTGTTTCTGATCTCCATTGGAGGTGCTCTCAGATGAATCATATATAGGAAAAAACCACTTCAACTCTTTAGTATGAAACTAAGGCACACATTGCGACAGCATGCACATGAATAATTAAGAAACAACAATTTCGTGCACTCACCCTCCGACATAATTAAGCAATTCCTTCTGCTTAGGAGCAACAGCATCCCGATTCTTATCCTCCACAATTTTTTGAAGCTCATCTAGTCCGGTTTCCAGTTTGTTAAGCAATTCAATTCCATTGTCAACCTTCGACTTTGCCAAACCTCCAACAATCAAGGTTCTACCTTGTTTGAGAGCCCTTGATGCCTGTCTAACGTTCTACAGCTCATTGGAAAAGCCAAAGCAAAACCGGATCAACACATTGTAAAAACTCTTCGACACATCACATGTATAAAAATATCGATGTGCATCATAAATTTGAATCTGCAAAATTATACTAAAAAGAAGAATAGGGGATTACTCTTTCGATAGAATCAAGGGCCTTCACACCAGCAACCTTGAGACTATCAGTAATATCTTCGAGCGGCTTTTGAACCTCCCGAATAGCCTTATTGTCAATCGGCAATGCGTACCTCAACAATGCCCCTGGATCCTTTATTGGCGGCCCAGAAATCAAAACTGAAACATCAGGCAATGCTGGAGCAATTGCATTTGCCATTGCCTCTCCTGCTCCTCCCAATGTTGGGACTCCAGTTATCAACCCAACCGCCAATGCTATAGAAATTGCACATTCCTTTATTGAAGACCTCCAATTTCTCTGTTCAAATCGTAATTTTCATCAAACTCCCAGATTTAACTTTTACTTACAGTTCTAAAAGCAGTGTTTACAAAAAAAACAGCAATTCAGTTCCTAAAAACTCAACGTGGTTGATTTCCAAAAAGTAATACTCTTGACACATTATAAACACAAAAAGTTAACAATAAATTCCTGGGTCGATTGAAGAGCTTGCCTGTTCATTTTGAGGCTGAGACGGAGGCGTATTTTGAGAAGTACATTGAGGTTTAAATTGCCGAGAGGAAGCATAATTGATGCTTTTCGACTGTAGTTTATGCTTAAAAAGTTTATGGGTAGTTGTCAATTGTAGAGAAGAATACTGATGGCACGAAATTAAGGCTGCCATTGGCGATAATTTCTTTATAGTTTTAGCAAAATAGTGGTGTCATTACGATCTTGAAAGAAGCCATGAGGAACAGTACAAATGGGAACAAAAGCAGAAAGGGGGAAAATGAGGGTGTGGCAAAAGAGAAGGATTGGGGAGATAAGGTTTTGCAGGGAATTGAAAAATCTAATTCCTAATCCAGAGAGTTAGGTGGAGAATTGAAGATGATGGATACTTGAAGAAGATCTCATATTCAGGATAAGATGAACTTATGCCGTTATGCGGGCTTCTAAATTTTGGTCCGGGCTTTAGATTTTCTAATTGGGCAGTTGAGCCACGCTCCGTTTAGCTGTTTTCTTTCAAGTTTATAAAAATTAGGTTTAAATTTTATTTAATCAAAAATCAGGTTTTATCATTTTTAATTAATAATGATATTATAAAATTAAAATAACCTATATACCCACCCTACTACCTACCCCACCAAATTTATTTTAAATATAAAACCTATCACAACCCTAACCTAATCCATTTCATTTCTCTCATCATTTCTCCCAACCGGTCGCCGCCTCCACCGCCACCTCTCTCCACCGCCGCCTCCGCCGCCCACTTTCTCCTCCGTTCTCCTCTCCCTTCCCCTCCCTCCCTCTGCTGCGATCGCAGCAGCGTCCAGCAGCCTCGCAGCGACGTTGCCCCCTCCCCTTCCCTCTCCATTCGTTCCCCCTTCCCCTCACCTCCCCCTTCGCAGCAGCGTCGTTGACGTCACAACGACGCTGCTACTCCTTCCCTTCCCCTCACCTCCCTCTCTTCCCCCTTCCCCTCCCTTTCCCTTCCTCTGCTCTGTTCAGATTATTTTTTCATTCATTTAACCCTTAAGACTAGACTAAGTTACTTACTTCTTGTCAAATGTGTAGTTTTGTCAACTGAATGTCTGGGGCGTAATCAATGTATTTGAATATATTTTTTTTCTTTCTTTTCATTTTTTTCTCCATTTCTTTTTCTCATTTTATTTGAGTATCTTCTCATTTGCTTTCTATATAACTCATGTAATGAG